AGGGAAAAGGGCGGCCTACAAATATTAATAAAATCTAAAATCTAAAAAATCCCCATTGTATGCAGGGAAACAAACTTGTGTGCCATAAAAAAAAACTTATCGCAAGAAGTTGGAATTAATTGATTGAACTGGATATGATTCCTATTCATATTCTTATTGTACTCCTACTCCTACTGTATTATATTCTCAATAAGAACAATCCAAGAACAAGAAACAAAATCTATGAAGAAAGATTGAGGGAGATGGGTATGTTTAGCATTAAGCATTTTTAAATACCAAATAAAAGTCATATACAATAACTTATTTTCGAATACAGAATACGGAATAGTTGATAAAGGAGAATATTTGTATCTCAGTGTTGAAATGAGGAGTCATTGGTGCTCTCTGAGCTTGGTTGTTTTTTGGTGACGTTTCATTACTCAAATTAAATAACATCATCATTATTAACCGGCAGTAGGATTTGCTCTCAATTTATATTCAAGTGGCTTGCCCTGTCTATTGGTGGGAGACAGCTTAGTGGTTCTTTGGTTGGCCTGTTTACTGTTAGCTAGTTTGGCAATTTCTTGACAGGGGTATTATTTACTTAGACTTGATGTTAATTTTGTTGTTAATCTAGGTATTAACTTCTGAAGAGGAGGTGTTTTGGTCTTTTTGTTTACTTTCTTGCTTGTTGATTACCTCTTTTGCACAATATGTAGATGTTTTTCAGGTCTATGTGCCTTTTGATTTGATATTAATATTGATTTGCTATTGATACAATTTTTGGAGTAAGTTTAGTTTAGGATGGTCACAGTTTCCCCATTAAATTATGGTTAAGTCTGCCCATATGCTCATGGGCCCCATCAATGGACATTCCTTGACTGATGGGGTCTGCAGTATGCTCCCTCTGCCGGCAAGTTTGGAGTGGGCCAATCCCATTATGGTAAGATGTTCCTCCAGAGAGCCTGGACCCATGCCATGAAGGGCTTTAAAGATGATAACCAATAACTTGAATTGCACATAAGTAATCCAACAATTATGTAATATGGGCACCCTAGAAGCCTCAACAACAGCCCGTGCTACCACATTTTGCACCAGTTGTAGCTTCCAATTACACTTCTAGGCCCATATAGAGTAAATTGCGATAGTCTGGGCATGAAATGACCAAGGCTTGAGTAACTAAGCACAAGTACTCCCAATCCAAGAAAAGTTGTAACTTACGCACAGCACTGAGTTGTGCAAATGCTCTCCTAGCCATGACTTCTGCCTGCTTTTAAAGCAGGAATCACAAGTCCAGGAGAACCCTCAAGTTGTGCATCAGGTTTATTTGGGGTTGTATAAACCCATTAGATATGTCAAACCTCTGGATCTCAACAATCCTAGCACCCAAAGTAATTTGGCCTTGCCAGGGTTCAATCAAAGTATGTTGTCCCCCATCCAGACTCTCAGGGCGCCAGCAACACAAAAGGGCAGCAATAGCATCACTTGGGACACCATGGGTAGAAATATAGAGTTGGTGACAAATGATCTCACCCAGTGGTTTCATATAATGTTAAAAGAGTGGAAAGAATACTGAGCTCTGCAACATGTCATAAAGGAGTTGCCCTGGATGTCTCACTTCCTAACCAGTTGGAACCAGCTTTGGAGAAAGAAACCAAACCATTGCAGGACTGTGCTGTCTAGCCCCAAACCCTACAGACAGCCCAAAAGGATACCCGATTGATGGTATTGAAGCTGCTGAACACATCCAGGACAAAAAGTATAGTTGCAGACAGACCGATCTTTCTCTCGCCAAACATCATCAGCAAGTGTGACCAATGTTGTTTCTATCCCATAACCAGGCCTAGATCTTGACTGGAAAGGGTCCAGATAATCAGCTTCATCTAGACCCTATGAAACTGCCAAGCAACCTACCTTCTCTACCACCTTCCCTAGGAAAGAAAGGTTAGAAACTGGATGAAAACTGTCCAGGTAGGTGAGTTCAAGAGATGGATTTTTTAGGAGGCAGCAAACCCAGGGCTACTTTTAAAAAGCCCTGAGAAACTCTCCTTCAGCAGTGAGGAATTAATAACTACTGAACCCACCTGGTAGTCACTATCCTGAAAGCTTTCACCAATCAAAACTGACAAGGAACCAATTGACAGGTGATTGCACAGACAGCAGAGAGGACCCTGCCCATTTCATCAGGTCTAGCAAGATTGAACTATTCTTAGATAACTGGGTAAGACTGTTCTTCGGGCATCTCATATGGACCAACACCATTGACAGGTTTCAGCTGGGAGTGAATCCAAATGACTTTATATGTCCAGAATCCTTTCCAAGGCCACTGTAACTCCAAACAATTGTTATGTGACCAGTTGTAAGTCAACGACTACCTATACACTTTAAAAATACTTTGTTCCAGGTGTTTAAAAAATGAGCCCTAATTATTAATTACAGCTACCATAATTGGATGAAATTTATGTCATAACAGTTTAACACTTATCTGAAGAGGAGGCCATAGCCTTATTTTAGTTTTCAAAAAATTTACAACTGAAAACTTTTCACATACCAGTAAAATAAACCTGATTATATATTACTTTTTGGTAAATAACAAAAAAAGAAACAACTTCCAATTTATTTAGATATTTATCAATATGCTTGATCAATTTAATACCAAATAGAAAGCTATAATTTACAATACTAGGAGAGAGGAGAACTGCTGGAATCACACTGACCTTCTCAATAACAAAACCAATGACCAAAGATGTTTGACTTTTGTAAGAAACAAAATATATAATTATATAAATGACAAGCTGACATTCTGCTCTCAACTAGCATTTCTAATAACCTTCATTTGCTCATAACAGTGCTAAGTACAATTATTACTAATAACGTTGAAAATATTACAAAATGCATTTTATTTATTTTGGAAATCTATTTAAATAAAATATTTCAGATTATGCTGAAATATTAACTAAGCAAAAATTACTTCATGCTACAAATTATAATATATTATTATTAGATGTTTTTCTAATTTACTTGTTTTAATAAAAAAGCGAAGTGCAAGAGTTCATAGAAGTATTTTTATAAATTCTAAAATATTTTTAAAAAATTTAAATAACAATGTTATATAAAGAAAAGAAAGTCATAATTTAATTATACCTTATTATAACGATCATGAGGAACAGACTGCAACACGATAGGTTCCATTGTAGAAACATTTGCAAACTGCACCTCGGGAATGTACAGAGCACAAACCACATGAGCCCAACCTATAAAAAGTTAATTTAATTTTATTCTTAACATTTTTGATAATATAAATAGAATAAATTCATATCAAGAAGCTTCCATATGATTTTCATGTAATTTTAATTATTTAATATTTATTCTTTAGGATATACATAACATATACAGAAAAGATAAGATCATAAGATTCTTCACAGAGCTACAAGCCTAACTTTTAAACAATGAAAATGATGATTACACAACAAAAACTATGGTCTCATATTTTGTTAAGTTTTGTATTAATTATCATTAAAATCAATGAGCTTATGTTTTATTTATATATTGCAGAACCTGGACCATCTATCATAATAAGGAAACACAAAGGCCTTTTAAAATAAAAACCTATTTCCATACCGGCCTTTCTATAAAAGACATTACTACATTCCTAGAGGTTTATTTAGCATAGTATTTCATGCCAAAAATTAAGAGATGTTTTAGTGCTATTTCAATAATATGCAGAATTACATAGACAAATAGAATTAATTTGTAGGTTACTTGATATAGGCACACAGGTACATATCTGCATTATTTCATATCTCCTGCAGTTCCTGAGAAAGTCACAAATTTGTGCTAGAACAAGAAAAAGTGTAAAAATCTGGCATTGTCTCTTTGTATCCGTATCTTAGTCTACAACTTTGCTAATTTATAAATTCTCCTATATTATGTCCTGGATTGCTTCATGTGAGAAATTTCCCTAGCAGTTTGATGTAATAAATTCCTAAAATAAAAGATAACAGAATTGTGGGAATTTCAAAAAGCAAGAGCATTATTTCACAAAAAATAAAGTTCAACTCCTACTAAATATATATTCTAATATTTCCCTGAATAGAAAATATCACATATTAGAAGAACATAACAAGTATGATGGAATGATGGAAACAACTTTACACATTCTCTATTCTAAGTGCTTCCTTCATCTACCATGCTTTGCTGCTACATCCACTCTTATTTTATTTCTATTCCAGCTCTGCTTTTATAGATTTGTCTCCTTCAAATTATCCCTTTTAGTAAAAAAATCCTTGAATTCCAGTTTTGCTAATTCATGCTAATTACTCCAAATCTAAGTCTTACTTCTATAATGAAATTCTAGAAAATGTTCATTTTCATTTTTTCAAAAGATAGAATGCTTAAAGACCAATGACCGTGACTTATATAAAATTAACAGATGAATTACTATAAATTGTTAACAATTATGGAGATAATTTAAGATATAAAACAAAGATCACTAGTCATACAATCAACATTTCTACCAAACAGCTGGGATACGCTCATTTTATTAGGCACCTTACTATTTAACAGTACTTGTATTTTGGAATTATATAAATGCAAGATAATATTCTCATAAGCGAATTAAATAAGAAATTGATGTCATATGTTTGGTTTTTATCTTCTTTAAGAGCTTTTGTAAGAAATCTAATCTGAACTGAATTATAATGATAATGCTTTGCCACTGCATGACCTCATGCAGATAAGGTTATCCAGTGATTGCTGTTTGCTTTGTGACATTATACTATCATGATATTCCCTTTTTAATAAGCAATATTTTATGAAAAGCTGCATTTTATTCCAATGTAAAAAAATAAACAAAAGCCACCCACAAGTATATTACTTCTTTTTGAGCTTCCTTGACTTATCCATTTTTTTCTGAAGAAATCGATCAATACCTTCTTTGAAGAGAACTTGATACGTGAAATTAGAATACTGCTTCTATAATATGCCACATCTCCAAAGATTCTAAATTTGCGTTATATTGCATTCAATTATCTTTAACGAAGACGCCCTTGTAATACAAAAGAAAACCCCAGCTATTTCAATGAACCTGTACTGTAAATAAGGTCCACTTTTGACCTATTATTCAGATAAGAGCTACTTTTAGGTGCAGTTTCTGTTATGTTTACATGCAATCAATCCCAGATTTTAAAAAATGAGAATCCCCCCCCCGTCTCTCTCTAGAAAAACAGTATCTGTCCCTTACAGTTGGTATACCTATAGAAACTTAATAGTTTCTTCAAAATTTCAGCTACTTTAAACTATAAACTTCTCAGTTGGAAATTCCCAAACCTGTTTTCATTAAATTCAAAGTCTTCAAAATCTTATTTCTCTGCTCATATCTGTTTTATCTATTGTAAAACTGCCCTTTCTATAGTACTAATTTAAAAAATTTAAATTTCTAATTTAAGAAATTGTACTACACTAAATGAAAAAAATGCTTACATTATTTCTGTATCTATAACATCCAACTGTAGATTATGCATTGGTTGCTAATCCTTTAAATTTTTGATATTTCTGCAAAACTATAACCTACAAGGTGATCTTTTCTCCAAATGTTCTAAAACTAGATAAACAAGTCATTTTTTAAAAAATGAGTTAAAAACATAGTTATTCAGTAATTTATTGAGGAAAATGATCAGCTATATATTTTGAGTGATAAAAGTATGAGAATCTTTGCTTTCAGGACTGATATGCAGCAATAACTGCAACTAAACATATCCACTAATTGTGATTAGTTGTACACATCATCTTGGAGGAATTATAGCCCATTCCTCCTTATAGAACAGCTTCAATTCAGGGATGTTAGTAGGCTTGCTTGAACTGCCCTCTTCAGGCCCCTCCACAATATTTCTATATGGTTAAGGTCAGGATTTTGACATGGCCATTCCAAAACATTAAATTTCTTCTGCTTCCTTGGCTGTACAACCTGTTTTGCAGATTCGTCTTGCTGCATTCCTTTGAGCTTCAGTTCATGGACAACTGACATTCTCCTATAGAAATTGCTAGTACAATTCAGAATTCATAGTTCCATCAATGTTGTCAGGTCATCCTGGCCCAGAGCCAGGCATAAATCATTACTGCCACCAGAATATTTCATAAATAGGATAAAGTTCTGATACTAGAATGCAGTGGTTTCCCTTTCAGCCATATATAACATTTTTAATTCAAGCCCCCACAAAAATCTATTTCAATGTCATACATCACAGAAAATTCTTCCAATGGCCTTCTGGCTTACGCATGTGGTCTTTTACAAACTATAGACGGGAAGCAATTTTCTTTTTGGAGAATAGCGACAGAATTTTGGAGAAATTTTCTTTCTTGCAACCTTGCAAGAAACATATCACTATTGTTCAGTTTCTCCCAAAGGTTCTGTCATGAACAGTAATATTCACCACTGCAATAAAGGCCTTTAGTTCCTTAGACATTAGCCTAGACCTCTCTGAGACTGCCTAGAGTAATAAACACCTTGTTCTTGGTATGATGTTGATGTTGATCATTCCTGAAGAGGTGGTGGTGCTGAATTATCTCCATTTGTACACAATCTTCTGAGAGTGGACTGGTAGAATACAAAACTTTATTTGTAAACTTTTCCAGCTTGGTGAGCATCAAAACTGCTTGTCATAGATTCTTGGAAACCTCCAAACACATGTTATAAGCATTAGACTTCTATACCCAGAATTCTATTCTTTAAATAAGGCAGGACTTCACTCACTCACACCTGATTACGAATGCACACAAATATGTAGTTTGGGAATATATTCCTCAGTGAAAAAATATGATTTTTTACTCATTTGTGTTTTCTTCATTCAGTTTTAGGATTTTGAGAAGAGATTGCATTTCATATTTTATTACTGCAATATTTCTGCAGAAATTTATGCAATTCATTTCTGAATTTCTGGTAGGCCCTTTGGGCCTATTTTTTTGCCCTCCACAGGCTCTGGAGGCTTTCCTGAAACATGGGGAGGGCGAAAACAGCCTCTCCCTACCCTCCGAAAGGCCGAAAATCAGCTGACATAGGGCAATGCCTCGCCTGTCCTCAGATATTGCTCTGTATGCCACCTGTGGCACACGGGCCAAAGGTTCACCATCACAGGTCTATCATCTCCTGATTTATGACAGCACATGGCTGATATATTTCATATCATATATTTCAACCCAACAGTAAAAATAGACACTGCAGGCTTTGCAGAAACAGCAAGAGACATTAAAATGTCTCTTGCTGTTTGAGTCCGAGATCCCAGACTCTTCATTATAAAAATGCCTGAGAAGAAACCTCTGCACCATGAGCTCTACTTGCCTTGATTATTCCTTAAAATAATGAAATAACAGGGTTGGAAAGAACCTTGGAGGCCTTCTAGTCCAACTCCCTACTCAAGCAGGTAACCCTATACCATTTCAGATAAATCTCGTCTTCAAAACCTCCTAGTGGTGGAGCACGCATAATTTCTGAAAGCAAGTTGTTCTATTAATTAATTGTTCTAACTATCAGGAAATTTCTTAGTTCTAGACTGATTCGCTCTTTGATTAATTTCTATCTATTGTTTCTTGTCCTCCTTTAGGTGCTTAGAATATAAGAATAAGTTGACCCTCTCTTCTTTATGGCAGCCTCTTAGATACTGGAACACTGCTATCACATCATCCCTAGTCCTTCTTTTCATTAGGTTTGACATACCCAATTCCTTAACTGTTTTTCTTATGTTTTAGCCTCCAGTTGCCTAATTGTTTTGTTGTTCTTCTCTGCACTTCTTTTACAGTCTCTTTCTACAGTCGCAATATTCCAAGTGTCATCTTACAAGGTATTAAAAAGAGGTTAGTAAACCTCTTCATGTGATCTTGATTCTACCCCTCTGTTAATGCAGCCTAGGACAAATTCCTTTTCCTGGCAAAATTCCCCATGGATTTTAATGTAGATAACTAAACATTATAAAATCTTTAAAGTATTTTAAGGTAAACAAAAATACATAAAACCCATTATATGTTTATTATATACTTATAGACAAAAATAGTTTGTTTCAATATTTTTCAGAGACAAATAACCATTTAAGGATATTCTGTAGAAAAGTAGCAAGTAAGAAGTCATCAAAGAGCTGAAAAGGGGGCTTCTAATCATTTGGAGGTAGGTGGCAAAGTGCAAGTAATCAAAATTTATGCTTCTTTACCTATATGACTTTACACATGTGACTTCCAAGTCATTTTCAATGGATACAATCCAATT